GTAGACTCTGACCAGAAAATCTTGCTATTGAGTTTTTGTTACAATATTCAAAAACTGGCACAGATGACATGACTTTGAGGCTGTACCCTGAAACACGGTTCACGAAGCCTACACCTCACTGGGAAAGACCCACCTGTCTATCATGTGAAACTGGTCATATAAATGGCAATAGCCCCATATAGTGGAAGATATACTATAAAAACTAAAAATTATTATTGTAATATCAATGTAATATATATATTATATTATATTATATATTATATATATTTATAATATATTTATATATTATATTATATTTTATATAATATATTATATTATTATATTATATATTATATTTATATAAAATATAATAAAATATATAATATAATAATATAATATAATATATTATATACATGTATATATTATAATATATATTATATATTATAATATATTCATATAATATATATATACACACACACACTTTGTATAGAAGTATATACAATTGTATATAAAATTGTATATAAAATATAATATAATATATATAATATAATATAATAATATATATTATATACATGTATATATAATAATATATATAATATATTATAATATATTTATATTATATATATACACACAACACACACACACACACACTTTGTATAGAATGGTAATATGCCATGGCCTTTGTCAATGATGGAGAAGAGGAATGGAGTATTTGTCTTTGTTTTTATGGGACAGTTGGGAAAGGATGTGACTCTCTCTGGAAAGATACAGAGACAACTAGAGCAATGGTTAGATATACATTAGGCATAGGAAGACTTTTACTTCAAACTTTAACAATTCATTTGTTACCTTTAATCACAAGAGGAAAAAATATCTTCTGGAAAAAAGTTCAAAATGCTATTTTTGTGAAATGGGAATACAGTATTTTCTAGTTCAGGGCTCTATATAAACCTACTGGGTTCCAGATAGACATACTTAGGCTCAGTGACACCTTCCCAGTCCTGATGTTGCCAGAAGGAAGCCAGAGTGGCCTGTAAATCCCCACAGTGACCAGACAATTCCACCATCCCTTTCTCTGTACCAAGCTGTTCTCAAGTTTTCCTCCCCGATCTCTTCATTCAAACTGTTTTTTCTTTCTTTTTTTTTTTTTTAAATACCGGGACTCTCATTTTCCAGTTACAGCTGATAATTGCGATAATTGTGGCCTTGGAGATAACTCAGTCCTGCACTTTTTCTTTTGTCCCTGTCCACTTAGTTTTTTCAAAATAGTATTTTAATCTATTCTTGAAAAATTCACACATGTATGTGGTGTGTCTTAATCATAGCCACCATCCACCATTCCTTCACCTCTCCTGAGCCTTCCTGACACAACCAACCACTTTCCAATTTCAGGTTCTTTCCTCTTACAGCCTATTGGCACCAATTAGTGGCTCCCATTGTGTACAGATGTGGAGTAACACACTGAGGGCATGGGCAAACTACTGGTGGCCACACCCCCAAAATACAAGTAATACTCCCTCCTCCCCCGCCCAGTTGACAATAGCTCCTCAGCTAGGGATTGTGGCCTTTGGGGTCTCCTTGTCAGCCACACTGGAATTTTAACTGGCTCCATCTAGTACAGATCTTGTTCAGGTAAACACTGGTATGTGAGCACTTGGGATCAGCCAGTTTTGATCTGCATGGCTTTGGAGGATGTGCTGTGAGAATGCAGTGGATGCCTGCCATAGACTGGCACATTCTCAATATTTTCAAGTCTCTCTACTACTAACCTATTAGGTGTTAAGGATTCCTAGATTTTCCTGGGGTTCTGAATTCCCCAATGCTATGACACAATCTCTGGCTAATAATCTCTCCATAGAGTGTTAGGAGGCCTGCTGGTTAGAGCTTGCATTCTACCATGGCCTGGCAGCCCTCTGTGAGTTTGACAACATGGAGGAGTCCCCGCTCCAAGTGGGGTGCTTCCTGCTTTCTACCAGACCTTATTCAAAGAATGTCTCTGAGGCCCGGGTGCCTGACTTATCTCTGGCATGACCCTTGACACAGTTCCCCTGCAAACATTCTTCCTCTATTACCCATCAGGTAATTTGGTGACATACTCTAGCTATTTTGAGAGGACCATATTGATACTAATCCAGATATATGATAGGAGCAGGGCACTTAATGCAAACTAGGTGATTCCCTAGCTACCATTCCCATCCCATATACACTGGAATAAAGTTGAGAGCCTCACTGAAGATGTCTCCCAGAACGCCATTTCCATCATGCTCACGGGCCAGACAAGGCCCCACCTGCCACTTCTGCCCCCTTTGTCCTCATGGCTGGATGGCCAAGGGACCATTGAGAAGGAGGGGACCACAGAAGAAGTCTCTCCAGAGGACATCATTTTCAGTCAGAGAAAGCAGCAACCCTACTTTTACTGTTCAGGCACTCTCTCATAAATTTATGATAATGTCCTACCCTTAAATTAAAACTTCTCTCATTAAATGCATTTGGTTTCTATTTAATAACTTCATTACTCCTTAATTCAAATATAATATTCATTGTACATTAAGAAGCCATCAGTATTTTTAGCACCTTTATACCTAATACTCACTAATATTTTTCTACTATGAAATGTAATTTGTTTCAGTGGTAATCAACTTACAGTGTCTCTCAATCACTATAATGGGGATATTTAAGTGACTTTTAATATATTTATGGAACAGATGTCCCCTTGGTTCAATGAGGGGCCTCTTTAAGTATCAGTAATCCACATTATTATCTATAAACTCAATTAATTGATAATAAAATTATTATCACCTACATGTGATGAATAACCTGTTCTAGTAACCATGAAAGAGGCACCCGGGAAGTGCACAGCCTGCTGGTACAGTCTTAACCAACGGAAAGGAAGAGAGAGTTTAGAATAACCATCACTGAACAAAGAGGACCACAATGCATCCAAAATGGGATAATTGTATTCTTTAAATTTCTTCAACATCTGTACAACCAAAGACAATCAAGGAAATCATTAGACTCACAATAATCTATGCTTACTCCTTGGGCAAAAAAAAAAAAAAAAAAAAAAAAAAAAGCAGAAAATTTCAGTTTAAAAATTAAAGTCTTTATTTTATTGACATAATGACATGGCTCAAGGTAAAATTGATATTACTTGGTTATTGACTAAATTCCTAGTGTGTGTACTATAAAACAATTAGAAGATTATGTTGTGGTGATGTATTGTTTATGATTTAATAAAGCTTGCCTTGTAATCAGAATGCAAAGCCAGCCACATTAGTTAGCCATGGAAGCTGGACAGTGGTGGCACACACCTTTAATCCCAGGACTGGAGAGACAAAGGTAGATGGATCTCTATGAGTTCAAAGCCACCCAGGGCTACATGAGACTGACTTATCCTAAAAGAGAAACAGAGCTCACACCTTCAATATACGGAAGAAGCAAAGGTCTCAAGTGACATTCAGTTTCCAGGCACAGGGAAGACAGGGTCTCCATTTCAGCCTTGGTAGAGGTAAGAGCTACTGGCTGGTTGTTTTGCCTTCTCCGATCTTTACCTTGAACCCAATATATTTCTCTGGATTTTAATTAGTCGTGCTACATTATGTCCCTTTGGAGGCATAGACGTAGGTCTTGAGATAGATCTAAATCAGTTAGACAACATGTAAAATAATTGTAATTTAAGTATGAACTGTCAGAGATTGTGCTCAGAGTGTTCAAGAAAAAGTAGACCCAGAAATATTCACTTTCTGGCTAGGTTTTTGAAAGAGGAGAACAGTTCAACAGCCAAAGAAAAAAACAAAAAAATACTGGCCAAGAGCATTTTAAGGGAAGCAAATAAAACAAAAACTTTCTAAAGGACATGGCAAAGAATGTTTTAAGGACTAAATATGTGAGTTACAATGTAAAATAATAGTTAGGAATAAACTAAATTAATAAACAACTATACAAAGTCACTTTGGTGTCAGGCAAATCCCAGGACCAGTGAAACGGTAAAGGCCCTTGCCACTAAGCATGATGCCTCAGGTTCATTCACTCCAGGTGTCATTTCATGCACCTACCCACCAACAAGATAAAAATGAATTTTTAAAATAAAAAGATACTTTGACCCAAAGGCTGGTTTTATAAACATTGCTGTCGATAGCAGTAACCATTAGAAACAAACAGATTTGAAGTCTAGGGGAGGCTTAATGGAGGATCTGACCGAGCAGGCTGGATATTGGATCTAAATTGGTTTCTATAAGACAGGAAAGGCAGAGGTGAACGCTAATGTGGGTTGGCTGCAAGCAGTTCCAAGAGTCTTTAAGTGCTTACCACGCCACAAACTCCTGAATTTTGTCACTTATTCACTCCAACCATTCAGAACTAGGTCATTTAGGACAGAAATTGATTGGCTTAGTCATAGTGAATGTCTGTGGAAGCACACAACCCCAGATTTACTGGTTTCTAAAGGTCACTACTGAGCTGAAGAGATGTCATAGAAGGTATGAGCATGTACTGGTCTTCCAAGGGACCTGAGTTTGGATCCCCAGCATCCATGTCTGTGGCTCACAACTGTTACTTAAGTTCTACAGTACTTAATGCACTTTCCTGGCTTGCATGGGCACCTGCATTATGTGTGAGTACACACACACACACACACACACACATTAAAATAAAATATGTATTAAAGACCACACTTAGTCTCTAACCTCCAATTCTTAAGCTGATCATAATGGTTCATGAGAAAAAAGACAACTGAAAATTACATGGAAGTGTTAACTTTGAATAGTTGCTTAAATAATGATGCCAATCAAAACTGCACAAGGGCTATCAGGAAGAGAGGTCAAGAGTTGGAGACACAAGTCCCACCTCTGTCTAAGCACCCGGCATCCTGAACCCTCCGACTATTTCGACATCGTGTGAAGAATGTTCCCTTTGTCTTCTCCTGCTGGTCCTGTTTAGTCTTTAAATGCTTCATGGATTCTGGGCTGAGATAATTCTGACTTAACTGGTTTTTGTTTATGTTTTCCTTTTTTTGTTTTCAGGTGAAAAATTTCCAGACAACAACCCTAAGGTACAGTTAGTGATGACATACGAGGACTCGAAGCTCACCATCCTAGTGAAGCACATGAAAAACTATCGTAAGTTCCTCCCATGTCGAAAGAGACCTAGCGCCCTCCATGGAGCAGTTAGTTACCTGCCTCCTTTGGGTCATTAGTGTCAACATCAGAAAAGGAATGTGCAACGAGTGTTTTTCTGTCCTGCCAGCCAGCTCCCAAATAATGACACGGAGACTCTTTATTAATTATGAAGCTCGGCCTCAACTTAGGCTTGTTTCTAACTTGCTCTTATAGCTTAAATTAACCCATACTTTTCAATCTACACTCTTTCATGTGCTCGTTACTTCATCTCCTGATTCTTCCACCTCTGACTGGGGTCAGCCTTCTTTCTTCCTAGGGCTCTCTGTCCTCCGGCCTAGCTGTTAGCTGTTTGGCTTTTTATTAAACAATCACAGCGGCACATCTTCCCACAGTATGAAGGAATGAACATTCCACAGCAGAAACGGGTCTAACAACTAAGTTTAGATGAGCACCAAGCAGCCGATCGCATTGATTTTGTCTCGTGTGAACATGATCTTTATGGGAAAGGCTATCGAATCTTGCAGGAAAAGTCACTGAATAAACACAGGGCTATATTCAAAATGAAGGTTCAGGAAAACCCCATTAACAGTCTCTGAGGAAGCATGAATGGCTTGGGGGATAAACAAACTGGTTTCCAATGCAGGAATGGCTTGGGGTTTCCAATAATTGCTGTGGCTAACGGGAGTGAGCGCATGGGAAGACCCGCTGTCCCTTGCTATGGTGCCCATAAATCTGTCTTCTGTCTCTCGGGAAGCTAACAGTTCCTTGGGGTTTCCAGCCAAAAGTCACACTGTACTTTTAGTTTTACTTTTACATTCTGATCTTAGTCCCCAACTTATGACTTAGATGTATTTCTTCCTCTTCAAAGAGAAAAATGGGACTTGGTGACTTTTGGAGTTCGTTGGATGTCTTTGAAACGCCTTTTTTGTATTTTCCTTTTCTTGTCAAACATTTCATCTTTCATTGATCACTGACATCTTATCTTTTTCTATCTAATGACATTGTACTATCCCAATATCTCCTCTGTTATGTGTGTGTTCCCAAATACATACAGGCTAAAGTCAGGCATTTTCCTCCATCATTCTCCACCTTATCCTTTTGAGACAGGGTCTCTCATTGAATCTGCAACTCACTGATTGACTAGGCTCACTGGCCATTGAGCTGCAGAGACCCATGCTCTGCCCTCACCATCCCTCCCTGGGGCCATGGTTACAGAATCATGCTGCTGTATCTAGCTGGGTGCTTAGAACCCAAACTCAGGTTCTCACACTGGAGCATCAGGCTCTCTACCCACTTAGGCACCTTCCCAGTCCTTCCCTGGTCGTTCTTGATGCTGTGGTTCTGTTTGGATGTCTTCACACTGAAGAAGTAGGTAGTGATCCCTACCTTTGCAGTCTCCCTGTGTCAGGGAATACCCTTCAACACAGGAATTCCCAGCAGATTTGCCATTGTGTTAAACAGAAGTAAGGTTTATTTGAACAAAAGTGCCTCAAAGCCACGATTCAGCTTCAAGGTGAGAGGGAGCAAATTAGACAGAAATGGCACAATACATGGAGATTTACATGTGATGGGACCTCGAAGGGACGGAGAAGCTTTCCTTTGAGGCCCAGAGAAGAACTTCGTTAAGAATTCAAATCAGAGAGTTATAGAGAAGGAGAGGGTCACGTTCATGAGAAAGTGTGGCTGTTGTCTGGGAGGCCAGAGAACTTGCTGTGCCATAGGGCAAGTAAAAAATGATGTGTGAGCATAGTAAATAGGAAGGGGGACTAGATATCACCAGCTCTTCCAGGCTTGGCTGAGTCTGGCCAAGTAGGCCCTGCCTATGACACAACTACCAGAGGATGACACAGGATGTGCATACAGCCAGCTCAGCCTTGGTGCTACTCCTTGTGCGCATAAGTCTGTCAGGGTGTGTTTGGAAGGATCTAAAGGAGAAGTCTCCTCACCATATGACATGTGTCTAGTGCACACTACATTTCATAAATATTTACTCAGTGAACAAGCAATTGGCATAATTTGCAAAGGATACCTCCCTTAGAAGACGTAGTATTAGCCAGAGTGCCAAGGATCTTTCTTGCATTCACAGTTGGCAATTTCAGAAATATCTGGACACTTATTTTTAAGTTTTAATAGACATCTTACTTATTAAAACGATTTTCTGAAAAAGTAGCAGCATCAATAGAGCCCTTGCATCATATTCACAAAGCCCTGAGTTCAATCTCCAATACTACCTGAACCAGGCATGTTGACACATCTGAAATCCTAGCAGTGCGATCAGAAGTTTAAGGTCATCCCCAGTTATGTAGCACATTTAGGTCTAGCCTGATAGATGGGAAAACCCTGTCTCAAAACGAAGTAATTATCCTCCATTGCTTTGAATAAGGAAATTGTTGTAAATCATAGTAACAGTTGCTCAAGAATTGTTTACATTGGGAAATGAGGATTCAGTCAAATATTATTTATGACAACATTTGTGTTCATGGATCTTGATCATCTCTATCACCATCTGACAAAAAGAATAGTAAGAAATACTGTTAAGTCAAAAGAATTTTTATAAATTTGTTACATATATTTTAGCCTTGAAAGTAGTCCCCTTAGAAATGATATATTTGTTTCACTAATGTTGTCGGTACTCAAAACAATTTAGACAAAGCCTGCTGAAATTGCTTTCAAATCTGGCATATAAATCTCACAGTAAGCTGGGTGATATTTTTCAATGGCCATGCCTAATTTCTGATCAAAAATAATATTAACTGGGTTGGTCACCCATTCCATCCAACCGATGAATTCCAAAATTGCTTTTGACAGTTTCCAAAAATACATTTTATACTCATGAAGTTGAGCCCATCAGTGAGGCCATTCAAAGCCAGTGCAACAAAGAAAGAATGTGAGTGGCAACTAAAAGAACTAGATAGGGAGATAAAGTGAGCAACGAAGAGACAATGGCCATGGAATCCCACTGAAGGTTAAAGGGGGCATGGCTGTGTGGGGTCAGTGTCTTCACAACATTATAAACACTGGTCTAATGTTCTCTCTCCATCTACCTCCTGTCTCTCCCCTTATTTTTCTTTCTTGTTTGCTTAATTGGTTGATTGGTTTGGTTTGGTTTGGTTTGGTTTGTTTGCTCTGTTTTGAGACAGGTTCTCACTGTGTATCTTAAGGTGGCCAGGAACTCACTATGTGTCCTCAAGCTAGCAGCAGGTACCCTCTTGCCCTAGCCTCTGGAGTTCTAAGGTGACATGGGCACCCATCACTATGATTTTGGGTTTTCTTCTTCCCAGTCTAATGACATTGAGAAAGGTCAGAACTCTTAAGTTCTCTCTACCTCTAGCTTCATAGCTTCAAATTCTTCTTGTCTTTTTCTTGCCTCTCTACAACTCCAGCTCTTTACTCTCTCCCAGTCCAGATCTGTGTATCCAGTTGTTTAGAGTGCTTCTCAAAATTCAATAGGCATCTCAAACTCAATGTGCTCCAAATCCAACCTTTGATGGTTATACCCTAAACATGTGTACCATATTTCCCATCACAATTACACTATCTACCTTCAACTGTCACATGCTGAAGCTTTTAGTCATTCAATTCCACTTCTCTTACAAGGTACATCCATCTTATATGGAAATTCCATTTGGAACATGAACTCAGAAGCCCAGAATCTTCCATCCGTGTTACTTCAAATCACCATCATCCCCCACCTGAAAGTTCTATTTGCTTCTGCCCCTGCTTGTTTTCATCTCTACTGAGTTTAGTAGCCCAAATACTAGATTAAGGAGAAAACCTACTTGCTGTGATTCCCTTCTTCATAGTCCTTCAAAGTCTCATCACACTTATAGTGAAGTCAGGATACCTAATGACATGTGAAGTTGTTTAAATATGGTTCCCTTGACATCTTCAACCTCACCTCTGACCTCCATCTACCCCAGCCTCAATGTCATCCTGGAATATGAAGGTATGTTGCCTCCCCAGAAACTTTCTATCTACTGGCTCAGTCATACGTGTCAGACAGGTCATTGTCATCTCTTCAGTGAGTCCTTTCTCATAAGAAAGACTGCACTCCAATCCTCTTTTGTTGTTGCTTGAAATCTTTCAAATACTTCATTAAAAAAAATAATAACAGATATTTTCTCACATGGACAACCGAGGATTAAGATTCTTGTCAAATTTTGAAAGTAGTCACAAAGATTCTCTGCATTTTCCAGACATTGTGTGTGTGTGTGTGTGTGTGTGTGTGTTTAGGTGCACATGAGGGTAAGTACCTATAGAGGCCAAAGGCATCTGATGTCCTGCAGCTGGTGTTATAGGAGGTAGTGGATTGCTCAACATGGGTAAACAGAAATTAGGTCTTACACAGGAAGAGTACACTCTCTTACCTGCTGAGCCTTCTCTGCTGCCCTCAGAGTGTTGTTAAATGATTATTTCTCCTACTAATCTCAAAATAGATTGCCTTTTAATATGGAGGACATAAAAACATCTACAAATTCTTAAATTATTTCCTTTGCATATTTCCAGTTCTAGCTAATTGTTATTTAATTTTAAAGCCTTTAATGTGTTCACATACCAAAGTAATCAGACTCCAGAAGTTGGGCTTGATTTTATATTAATATGAAAATGAATTATTATGCCCCAAGTCCTGCTGTATTATATTAAGTTTGATGAAAAGAATTGTTTATCTTATATTAAATCTTCAAAGCTTTGTTCTACAACTCCTTTCCTCCTGTGAGAACACAGGCTCCAACAGAATTGCTAAAAAGAAAATCCTTTCCTATTCAAAGACAACTAACACGAGTTGCTCTAGTAATCACAGCTAACAAATGGCTGCCGTGGCATAGAAACCTGGCCAAGACATCTAACAAAATTTCAGCTTGTGTGACAAAGACACTTTTAGTGTCATTTAGACTTGAAATATTTTGGAACACTAACTCTAAAGCATTTCCAGGTTCCTCACTTAAGATATTCTTTTCAACTATTTCCGCGGTGCTCCGGTGCGCATACCCTTCTGAGATCACAGGCTCCCCGAGTCCGTGTCGTTTCTCCTCTTCTTTGTCTTCCTATGACACACTTTGAATATTTCCAGGCCCTC